CGAATAAAGATTAACGATAAAAATCTGACGACCTTCTAGTAGCTTCCCCGGTGATTATTCTAGCAGTAAAATTTTGAAGGCAACCCCATGAACAAAAAATTTAAAATGTTTGTAACTTCGATATCTTTTACAATAGAGATATACTAAGGGCATAATTGTGATCCCATTACCAAGTAGATCAACGTACTAATCGATTAATTAATCAAAATAAGTACACGTCCTAATATGCTCCCGTATATAGTTCTAAAATAACAGTCCCTACTCACTAGAAGTATAAATATGATGCTAACAATCAAATTTACCAACCAAAAGTGTTGTAACTTCGAGATCTTTTACAATAGAATTATAAAAAATAATATAATCATGATACCATGACCAAGTAGATCACCACACTAGTCGACTAATTCATCAAAAAAATGACGTCCAAATTTGGGTGAAAATGCTCTCGTATACATCTCTGGGATAATAATTCCAACATATTGGTATATAGATGTAACCCCTCACGACGATAATATTTATTTTCCATTGACCATCGATATACTGTTCCCAGTATAACCTATAAATCATAAAACCAAATAAATTAATAGCTATGCACTAAATAATATCGCGATACTAATAATCGAAATACAAAACAAAATCGTATAAATATCAAACGAACTCTCCCTCTAAATAATATCATTAAAATCAAAATTACTAGTATCCGACTTAATATCGTCACAAGGATAACATAACAAATACAAGAATAATAAATGTTAAAATATTTTATAATAATATAATTTAAGTGCCATTGAATAATTACAAGATATATATATATTAATCCCCAACTAACAATGAATATTTAATAAATATCCTATGAAACTTGTAAAGACAAAATTATAAATAAAAATGTAAGATAATAACCAAAATTTAACAATTGATAAAACTAATAAATTATATGGTACTAATAATTCTCTATGATTAAAATTGAAATTGCTTAATGCAAATAATAATAATAACAATAATGAATTTGCATAAATTTTAATAAGACTTACCCTTAGAAATAATAATATATCCTTGACCATCAACCATTTTAATTCAGCACTGCTTGTTTTTCTTGCTAAACCTGTTGACACCTAAAAACAAATAAAAATGAATATATATTCTTAGACCATAAATTAATAAAATATTAATGATTAAAAAATTTCAGAAACAAAATTTTGGTAGTAAAATCTAGCTTCAAATTCTACAAAATAATTCTAACAATTATACACATGAATATATATATATATATATATATATATGTATATATATATATGCATCCACCTTATAACCAATAATAATAATGACCCCCCTCCTGGATGCCTGAAAAATTAATGTAAAATAATATTTGGTCATAAGAATAATAATTTCTAACACGAGGCTGTCAATATTTTATAAAAATTTGCAAAGCATTAAGTATAACAAAATGGATAGCATCTATATGCTTAAGGCATATACACATGAGCCAATGAAAAGAAAGAAAAACCAACTAGCATAAATGAACCAAAATAACATAAATTTAAATTAAAATAATTTAAAAATCAGAATAAGGCCAATGAACACCATCAAAAATCAACCATGAACATTTACGATCACACTCTTCTATATATGAATGCATGTACCAAGCCTTATAAAATATTAACACTTCATATAAAAAGTTTTCAACTATAATAATCCCCCTTTTTCAAGTACTTTAATGACAAAATTTCATAATACCAAACCTTATTAAGTATAATTATGTCAGAATATTACTTACTAGTAAGTCTTCATATGACGAAAATAAATGGACACCCTACATTCGTGTTCCTACTCACCGGGTACCCCCCTGGCAAAAGTATCACCTGAATTAATAAAATAATAATATTAAAGATGGACATCTATAGCTACTATGAATATAAAATGTATATACACAATTGTAAAATGCCACGAACATTCACATATGAGCACTCTTTATACGTATATAAAAAAAAAATATATATACGTGCATATGAACATATGCAAATTTAATAATGTAAGACTAAAATCTTCCGAGAAATGAATAAGGCCCAGCTGCATAACGTGTGAAATAACACTCAAAAATTAGAATCTAAATTTAAAACTTTATTAAATAAAAATAAAAAAAAAAAATTTCAACAATGAATATAATGACAGCAACTTCTTATCATGCATAATATACATATATCATTAAGTCAAAGGAAATAAAAACGTGAAAACACGAGAGAAATAGAGAAATAATATGTGTACTTACGAATAATATTGCACAAAGAATATTATGCGTATAACTCTACGAGTCGAACAAGCGTGCAAGGCCAAGTCCAGCACGTCGCGTTATCTCCATTGGAATTTTTAAACATCCTCTCCCGACCTAAAGGCAGAGGGAAGATCTAAATTCGCGCTCGCATGAATGCAAACCAAATTAATACATCGACTTCTCTTTTATAATTAAGCATTAACAAAGTATTCTCTATTAATATTATACTATTATCCAGTATCATATACCTCTATATATATGCATACTATATGTGACATATGAACTGACTACATATACACATATGCATACATATTTTATAACAAAATCCAATAAAATAAAAGTAGAGACGTAATAAACAATCGTCAGGACGAAAAATTAACATATATTAATAGATAAAAATATACACCTTTATATATATATGCATACTATATGTAACCTATAAATCGAATAAATTTACATATACGCATATATATTTTATAACCAAACTCAATAAAATAACGGTATAAATACAATAAATACGCGTCGCGATAGAAATTGACACATATATATATTAACATGTCCAGAAATCTCCCTATATATATGTGCGTACTATACGTAATATATAAATTGAATAAATTTACATATACGCATATATATTTTATAACCAAACTCAATAAAATAACGGTATAAATACAATAAATACGCGTCGCGATAGAAATTGACACATATATATATGAACATGTCCAGAAATCTCCCTATATATATGTGCGTACTATACGTAATATATAAATTGAATAAATTTACATATACGCATATATATTTTATAACAAAACTCAATAAAATAAAGGTATAAATACAATAAATAAGCGTCGCGATGGAAATTTACAAATATACAGGGTCTACCAAAAGTGTGGAAACACCTAAATATCTCGGAAAATATACGTTTTACAGAAAAGTGTTTCCAACAAAAGTTGTAGGGTTTAAGAAGATCTATATACTGATTCTATCAGTTTGACCTTGGATGGCGTCGTCAAGGTCAGGTCAAGGTCACATTGACTTTTTTAAATGACACCCCCTACATTTGATTGCATATTCTTATAGCTTAATTCAAGAGCTTTCCAAAACACTATAATAATGTTCATTTTTATTAAGTACTTTGCGAGTTATGAGGGTTGAAATAATTTCTTAATTTTACATAAACCATAAAATATCTAGTAAACCATTCATTTTTCGATTATCTTACCTTCATACTTTTATGTACAAATTAATGAGAGGAATCAATTGGTGTAAAGAAAACACATAGTTGTTTCTAAGAAAAAATATGTAATTTGCAATTAACAATTCCATATTTTTTCTTATTATTAAATACGATTCAGTAAAAACTTGCTGAAATCAATTTTCATAAGCAATATGCGAATACATATCTATACATATATATATATATATATATATATATATGTGCTAATATGAAAGTCGCCCAAATGAAAATCTTCAAAGAATAAAATATTGTTAGAATCAAAAGACCTCTTGAATAAAAGATCACGGTAGAGCGTGCAATGAATTCTTCGAGCACATCCGTCGTGATCATTCTTAGAAGTAAAACGAGCCGCTTTTTCATACGTTGTTCCGAGAATTGTAAGAATAAAATTTCTTTTAGCGACATAATAACTATTAAGCGAAGCGATAATTAATTTCCATATATTCTTATTGTAAAATTTATTGTAATAATAATGGCTTAACGCATTAGAATTTATTAAAATATTATTCATAGACTTGAGTAATCATTAAAAGTCGACTTTGAAAATTTTAAAATATATACCTATAAAACCACGAAAAATTCTAATTGTTGAAGCCTTTATTAAATAAATAAAAATATATATTGTAAATGATAAATCTTAATAATTAGTCTTAAGATAATTATTAAACCTGGAAATAATACGTGTAATATGCCAATTTAAACCACGTAAACGAATTTTAAAAGGTAATTCATTAAAAAATATTACTGTTACTAATGTGTCTTATAAAGAGAAAGAATGCAGTGAGCATTCTTCGAAGGACATCCAGCGTATCTATTTTTAGAAAAAGAGATAAGCCATCTTCGCATCCGTTGCGTTAGAATCTGCAATCCAAATGCTAAATTTTTCTTTACTAATTATTACTAGTTATTAATTTACTAAATATTAATTAATTACTAATTATTAATTTTAACTATATACGCACCATTGTAAAAATCATTGTAATAATAATGGTTTAATACATCAGAATTTACCAAAATATCACTTAAAATTTAAACAATTGCTATAAATCGAACTCAAATTTTCGAATAACATAAATACGATATTATAAAAAAATTCTGATTGTTAAAAATCATTATTAAAAATTATTCTAAAATTATTTAATAAATCTAAGACTCAAGACCTGCAATCCCTACCACAAAACTCTCACCCACCACATCGCAAACTCATAGCAGGAAGGGATAGCTCCAGCAGCCGACCCACCAATCACCTAAGAGGCCCACCTTTTCTCCCTACCATTAAACATCGAACCAGAGGAAGGTATATAAGGCACCTCAGGCGTCAAGTCTGCGCTCTCGCCCGCTCTCTAGCCTTTAAGCCATTAACTCGCCTGTGTCTCAGCTCTCTCTACGCCCATCAGATCTCCAGCTCTCGAAGAGGAAAAACCTAGAAGCCTACCGGACACCTTAACTTATTCGAAAATAACTTAGTCGCGATTTTGACTTTTTCTTTCGGGACTTAGTCTCAATCTCTATTAAGAGAGCTGTATCAACATTAACACTTTAATAAAGTGCTACCATCCAGCAACCTCTGACTCTTTGGCCATTCTCTGCGCTGCCTTGCCACTTCTTCAGGTTCTCACCGAGGTCGAGCAACCCAGGGAAGGAGCAGCGGTGCCTGCATTCATCCATTGATCCCGTCATCCGGTAAGGAAATAATAAAATAATAATCATTCTTAATCAACCTTGATAATAACTTTGTATATTAGTTCGATTTATTCTAGGCCTATTGACAATTTTCCCAGAATCTTACTTGCCCGTATACAGACTTTAAATTTTTCTTTCGAGTTGAATTATTTAAATTTCAACCGATCCTCTGAGAACGCTCGAAGCGTATCCTAGAGTGTAGCGTCGTTCGAGTTAGTCACTCGATGTGCATTGAGTAGCAAATTCTACTCCTCTGCCGCTTTCACGGAGAGCTTCTCTGAAAGAATTTCTCCGTGGATCCTGTGCCGCTGTGACGTGACGTCTTGCACATCGATACTAGACTCAGAATCTAAGACTCGCTCCTAGAGGATCTGTCGAAATAATAGAATTTATGCACTGGCTTACAAGTTAACTATCGAAACATTTTATGAATTTTATACTTATCTGAAGTAAGCCAGCCGCTCTCACCCGTATCCTCGTCTGTATCCTTGAATCTCCAGACCTCTCGGTGCAGCCGCATGCTCCTGGAAATTCAGTATATGCTAGATAAATTATCATCCGTTGTACGACAATTTTCCTCGAATCCTACCTTTCCGTATACAGACTTTAAATCCTTCTTTGAGTTGAATAATTTAAATTTCAACCGATCCTCTGAGAACGCTCAAAGCGTATCCTAGAGTGTAGCGTCGTTCGAGTTAGTCACTCGATGTGCATTGAGTAGCAAATTCTACTCCTCTGCCGCTTTCACGGAGAGCTTCTCTGAAAGAATTTCTCCGTGGATCCTGTGCCGCTGTGACGTGACGTCTTGCACATCGATACTAGACTCAGAATCTAAGACTCGCTCCTAGAGGATCCGTCGAAATAATAGAATTAATGCACTGGCTTACAAGTTAACTATCGAAGACATTTTATGAATTTTATACTTATCTGAAGTAAGCCAGCCGCTCTTACCCGTATCCTTGTCTGTACCCCCTGAATTTCCGGACCTCTCGGTGCAACCGCATGCCCCTGAAAAATTCAAAATATATTAAATAAATCATTAATTGCTGTACCCCAATGAACTGTATATAGCCGAACGTTTCAACCATGATATGAGAACGAGTGAGATATACTATCATAATCTACATTCGTTTATCTCACAATAATCCGTTAAGCCGTATTATTCGTCTTAACTCTATGAACCACCTTGCTGTGACTACATTTACCTTATAAAACCATTCATCTTCACAGGTACCTTTCTACGCATCATCGTAAGTAAACCCCTTTTGTGTTAAATCAATCGTATCAAACATACTAAATAGTCGTATTCCCTCGGTAGATGGTTAACCCCCGCCGAACTTCTTCCGTTGGACGCGAAATTCCCCTCCGTGCCGCGGGTATACGCCGCAGGCGTGCCTCCCGGTCGGTACTTAGGCTCCCTACAGCTCGTCAGTTGTTTGCCGACGAGAACGACTTAACAAGCAGAGTAACAAGGTACTCTCCAGTGCGTAGTTTCGCGCCCTCCCGCGCATACCCTTATCGTCCTCCCCGAAACCCTCCAGCGGTTCTTCAAGAGGAACAACAGCCCAGAGCCAGGCCGCCATCGCCCAATTACTCCCCCATCCAGGATTCATCTAATCCCAGCTACTCGCCGGTCAGGACACCGGAAGATCTTCCTTCCATACCGGAAGAACGAAGACCCATAGAACAAAGCACAGAAACTGAGGTTGGTCCATCCAACCCAGGTCAAGTTCTGGATCCCCCTGAACCAAATTTCTACCCGGAACCAGAGGACCTAGTCTTACCAAGCAGTATCCAACCCCTCGCAGGACTAACAGACGAAGATTTTATCGAGATCTACGAATACTTGCAGCGAGATAATTTCTTCAACAACCGCGAATAATAACCATATCTAGATATCGCATTAGAAATGCTATAGAGAAGAACATTAACTACATACACACATCTATACGTATAACGATATACACTATCTACAACTGTCAAATAATAACAATAATAACAATAATAAAAAATTTGTAAAGCTCTAAGGAAGTAAACTAATAAAAGAAAACAGATCAAAAAGGATAAATTGGGTCAGGTTCAACGCACCTAATTTATTTCCCATCGTCAATCCCTCTCCTGAAAGAAGCGCAAAAGATTCTTAGTCTCTCGGCGTCCTAGGGTATAGCCGGCTTGGCAGGTTGCCCTGAAAAAGAAATAGAGAGAAGTTACAATTGCGTAACAAATAAATACGTGAGAAGTTACGATCGAGACGTAACAACGAAATCTCAAAACGTAACACTTTCATTCAGATAGTTCCAGAAAACAGTCAAAGTTGCCTTTTAGATGTACTGAACTACCTAATTGAATCAAAACTAAATCTAGTCTATCCGAATATTTATATTGCGATTAGAATTTTATTATTAACTATACCAGTAACAATTGCTTCTGCTGAAAGAAGCTTCTCAAAACTTAAACTAATAAAAAACTACTTACGTTCAAATACATCACAGGAAAGACTGGTGGGACTAGCCATGATGTCAATAGAAAAAGAGATATCACATGAAACCGATTTTTCTAATGTGATTAATGACTTTGCTTCCGCAAAAGCGAGAAAAGTTAATTTTTAAGATTATTATTCAAAGGTTTTATGTTAATTTTTATTTTGGAGAGAAAAATATCTTTGTTTTAAATTTTTTTTTTGAGTTGCAAGAATCGGCCTCGCATTTTTTTTTGCACCCAGCCCCGCATTAACTAGAACCGGCCCTGAGTATTCATTTAATGATTGAATATGATTGGTCAATTCCTTATGTTATTGCTTTAATCCGTTAAGTCTACTGCCATTGTAGAGGACGTGTTAAGCGTCTTCTACAATGAGATTTAAGGCGTAAGACTTAAGAAATTGACCAATCACAATCGAATATTCTCTTAATAATAGACCGTGATCGGTGAATTTCTTAAGCCTTACGCTTTAAAATCTTATTATAGGCGCTACATTAAGCGTAGTCTACAATGAAATTTTAAGGAGACTTAAGTCGTAAGATTTAAGAAATTAACCAATTATAGTCAAGTATTAAGAAAATATTCGATTGTGATTGGTCAATTTCTTAAGTCTTACGCCTTAAGTCTCCTTAAAATCTCAGTGTAGACGACGCTTCAAGAGTCGTCTACAATGGCCGTAGTATAATGTTGTAAGGCGTAAGTCTCAAGAAATTAACCAATCACATTCAAGTATGGCCGTGTTCCGAAATTGCTGCCAGTTTATTGCCAACACTGAAAATATATAATATACGTAACGTGCACTATAGAATTTGCAGTACAGGTAACAATTTCGGAACACGGCTAATGAAGAGAATGCTCGGCTGTGATTGGTCAACTTCTTAAGGCTTAGGGCTTAAATTATCTGTTGTAGATCGGGATTAAATGTTCGTCTGCAATGGCCGTTGCATAAGGTTGCAAGGCGTAAAACTCAAGAAATTGACCAATCACAGTCGAGTATTCTCTTAATATTTGACTGTGATTGATCAATTAGTTGAATCTTACGCCTTACAACCTTACGCTACGGCCACTTAGGACGACCTTAAAGCACCGTCTACAATGGCAGTAGAATTAATGAATTAAAGCTGTAACTCAATAAATTGGGCAATCACATTCGAGTATTCTTTTAATGCTTGAATGTGATTGGTCAATTCCTTAAGGTACTGCTTTAATCCGTTAATCCTACTGCCATTGTAGATGACGTGTTAAGCGTCTTCTACAATGAGATTTTAAGGCGTAAGACTTAAGAAATTGACCAATCACAATCGAATATTCTGTTAATACTAGACTGTGATTGGTCAATTTCTTAAGGCTTAGGGCTTAAAATTGTTAATATGCCTGACACTACAATAACATTTGATGTGATCCACTAATTATTTAATTGAGCATTATAGTACTTTTTGTCATAATATTTATTTAAATATTATGACAAAAAGTGCTATAATGCTCAATTGTATGGATATACTGGCACCCAAAGTTATCGTTTCAGTCATTTCACATTATTTGGTTTTATATTTTTACGCAGTTGTTCTAAGAAGAACCCATCTGTGTAATTGTCTGGCAAGTCATAATTTTCATATAAATTTTTTTGTCACTGTACTTCTTTCATATTCAGCTGAGATATGTTTTTAGCTTTAGAATTATAAAAATTCTTATTCTTGAATCTGTAAATTATTTATATCCATTAAAACATTTAATACTCAAAATTCATTTGTCTCTATTTCTAATATAATGACTTTTGTATCACCAATAAAATGCTACAAAAGAATAATACATATAGACAAATATTGTAATGTAATTACTAATATTATCGCGAAATATACATTAAGCATCATAATATTTTTAAATAGATGTCATAAGTTTACAAATAAGTATGTGACGAAAGATATTAAAAATTTATACGAATAAATATAAATTCTGAACATTATGGTGATGTTCAGAATTAATATTTATAATTTATATATATAAATTTTTAATATCTTTTATCAGATACTTATTTGTAAACTTATGGCATCTATTTAAAAATATTATGATACTTAGTGGACATTTTACGAGAATATTAGTAATTACAATACAATATTTGTTTATATGTATTATTCTTTTGTAGCATTTTATTGATAATAATCATCTAACTTCCACTTCCAAGGCTTCTCCGCTTCCAAGAGTTGTACATTTTCTGTAACATAAATAATAATAATCATATATTAATCATAGAAATATATATATATATATATATATATATAACTATTACATATAATATATATAAATAAAAATATACATACATTTTTTTTCAATATTGAAAGTATGATGCGGATGATGCTAGCAAATATCCTGATTGCACTGGCGGTGCGCGCACATATCCTGGTTGTATGGGCGGTGCGTGTACATATTCTGGCTGTACGGACGATGTATGCACATATCCTGGTTGTACGGGTGGTGTGTGTACATATTCTGACTGTACGGATGATGCATGCACATATCCTGCCTGCATGAGCGGTGCGCGCACATATCCTGGTTGTACGGCGGTGCGTATATATGTCCTCGTCGTAAGGGCAATGCCTGCACATATCCTGATTGTACAGGCGATGCGTACACATATTCTGGTTGTGCAGGCGGTGTGTGCACATATCTTGGATGTACAGGCGGTGCGTACACATATTCTGGTTGTACAGGCGGTGTGTGCACATATCTTGGTTGTACAGGCGGTGCGTGCACATATTTTGATTGTATGGGCCGTGTGGTGATGGGTCTGAATGCACGTCCACGTGCGGCATATTGTTTTTTTCTTTTCGCGGGTCACCGCTCTGCGAACCGCTTCATTAATGTGCTGTAAAAAAAAATATATATTAATATAAAAATAAAATGTATAGATAAAAAATCTACGCATACACATATGCACACATACGTACAAGTAATCTTCCCAATCATATATTATAATTTATATAAATATATAATTATAATTTATTAAATTTTATTTTTAATTTATTAAAATATTATGATATTCACCTTGTTTATGTTTTGTTTCACTCTCATGTCCCCTAAGTCCTCTAGTATCGACGTCATCGCCGTCGCCGTTGACACTCTCCCGTCGGCGGACAGCGGCGTCATCGCCGTTGACACTCTTCCGTCGGCTGGTAGCGGCGCCGTCGTCGTCACTCTCCTGTCCGCTGAAGACGACGCCTTCGTCGCCACCATCCTCACTTTTGATAATAGTGGCGACGACTTTTTTGATTTTATGCTGCCCTCGCTTCTTGCTGAAATAAATTTATTATTATTATTATTATTATAATATATATATATATATATATATATATATATATATACATATATATATATATAAATTTGAAAAATGTATAAAATATACTTACATCGAGGCATTGTTCTATTTCAAACGACGCACAAGAATCAACTGGTTCTTTCCAGTCCACGGTCCACGGTGTTCTTTCAGTCCAGTGTTGCCAGAAAGCAGACGCGGCGCACACGCACACGGTCAGCGAGGCACGTGTGCGTGTGCGCCGCGTCTTCTATCTGGCAACGTCGCCTCATTCCATTTTGGAAAGAAAAACGATCTGGCCGATTTCGAGATTCGGCATTGCTGCGTTTTTAAAACATCAATAGCAGTTTTAATATTTGTTGTATAAGTTATTTACTTTTTTTATATTTTTTATTAATATTATTTTTATTAATAGTAATTAATTAAATTTATAATTTTTTTTAATTTTATAATATTAATTAATATATTAATAAATTATTAATATTAATAATAATTTTATTAATATTATTTGTATTAATATTATTTTTATTGATATTATTTTTTTTTATATTTTTGAATTATAAATCATATAAATTTATTTTTTTAGTGTAAGGAAAAATCCTTATGTAAAAATACATATTTGGTAAGCAAAAATATTTATTAATGGAAAACAGCCAAAAAAATTTAATTGCAATTTACATTATTGTTCTGCTGATTTCTATCAATAAATATTTTATATTAACGAATATGTATTTTTACATAAGTATTTTTCTTTGCACAATAACAAAAGTATATATATATGATCTATAATTCTAAAACATGTAAATAATTTGGAAAACAAATATTAAAACTGTTTTTTATACATAAGGCGTGCGCAAAAAGTACCGCCCTAGTAAAATATCTTGAAAACGTTTTTGAAAACAATTTTTC